ACGTTTAGCGCACCACGCTTCTCGGCAGTAGCCCAGAAGCTGGAGGGCAGGAGCTGCTGTGGTCATACACTCACCCGTGTGAGAAACCACCGAGCTCGCGGGAGCGTTATGAATTGTTCCATATGTCGCAGGGCGACAATACGTGGGGAATCGGTGTTGCACCTTGAGTTTGAGAAACTCAAATCGAAGATGGCTTTCAACGCGCACGTCCACTTCCTTGTGGCTTTGCTGTAAGATAGACAGCGAGGAAAGTGTCTGGTGCCGCTGCACACATCGCTCAAAAAGATCCTCATCATCTGCAGCGGTTTCGCCAGGGTCGAGCACCATAGGAATAGTCTGCATTGTGGGTACAGTAGCGCCTCCTTTTTGAGCGCGAAGTCGAGCGCGGTACCGATCCACTGAGATTTCTGGTGGTACCAAAACGCGAGCTCAGAGAGATTTCCGCTGATCAAGCTCAGCTTTTGTTGTGTCCGGGGGCACGGCTACGTAGCTGGCGGCGTCAGCGGGACGCGAGGATTAACAAGACCGTTCACATAGATTGGCGTGAAGCCGATAGATGAATGCACAGCATTGTTCAGGACAAACTCTACGAGTAGCAACAAAGCGCTCTAGCCATTCGGCTTCACAGCGCAGACGCGGCGACAAACATCTTCAACGACGCGATTTACGCGCTCAGTTTGACCATCGGTCTGCGGATGACCCACTGTTGTCATAGTCAACTGGGTGCCCAGCACCCTGAAGAATGTAGACCAGAACTTCCCAGCCAAGCGTGGGTCTATACCAGAGATATTTGACTCCAAGAGTCCATGTTGTCGGAAAACAGATCAACACAGCGTCGCTGTACTCACACCGTCGATGGTGTCCGGCACTGCCGCAAGATGAGACATCTTGCTCAAACGACTCACAAAGACCACCACACCCGTGTTGCCCGCCGAGTCATTCGACAGGTAAACACAAACTCCAAACTCATTGACTGCCAATACCCGGAGGGTATTGGCAGTCTAGGCCAGCGGCGCCGGTGCATTTGGGGAGGGTTTCACCCACTGACACGTCTGACACGTGCGCAGATATGTGCTCGTGCATTTGTGCAGCTTGGGCTGCCAATAGTGGCAACTCACCGAGCTGTACTTCTTCTCACGACCAAGATGACCACTGGGTGGGGTGTCGTGGGTCTTATAGAGGATATGGTTTTTCAAATCATCATAATGAGGAACCACAATTTGTGGCGTATCCGTTGAATCGGTGCTATAACACAGCAACCCATTATTCAACGAATATCGGATTGGCCGTCCGCGCAATGGCGCCGACAATTTCTCATCCGAATTTGCAAACCCCTTGCTCCCGAGAGTCTGTAGCCGCGCTACACACATACTATCATCCGCGTATGTGGCGCGAATCATTTCCGCCACTGACGACGTCACCGTCGTGACATGAGCAAGCTCATAATCCTGTCTGCGTGACAAAGCATCAGCCAAAGCATTCTGCTTTTCTGCCTTATACTTTACCTTGAAGTTATATTTCTTAAAGAAAGAGAGCCACCTGTCGCCTGAGTCGCAGTGCGTAGTGAAGCATGATTTAAGTAGATCTCGAACGGCTATGAGCCTAGCAGGTGCACCCTGAACTCGACAAGTGCATACTTCATCTCAAGTAATTTCTTGTCGTGGACTGAGTAGTTCCACTCTGCAGCCTTAAGCTGGCGAGAATCGAACGCGATCACCCGATCTTGCCACTCGGCGTCTGCTTGCAGCAGTGCAAGCCGATGGCAAAGTCCGAAGCGTCACAGACGACAATAAAACGACGATCGGGGGCTGGCAGCTCTAGTATTGGTGCATGAAGGAGGCTGTCTATAACCCTGTCAAAAGCCTCCCGATGCTCGGTGTCACAACACCATTCCTTATCCTTCTTAAGGAGATTAGATAATGGTCGTGCCATTTCCACATAATTTGCGCTATACTTGTGCAACTAGTTGGCGAGGCCAAGGCACTTGCGAAAGTCCTTTTGGTTTCTTGGAACTGGTCTTGACCTTAGCGGGATCCGCTCGCAATGGCCACACTTCTCAATGAAGGACCTCAAAGGGAATCTCTTCCGCGCCAAAGATGCACTTGTCTGCATTACAATACATCTTTTTGTGCGCAAGCACTCGAGCACCTCTCTCAAATGGATGATGCGGCTTTCCTCATCTATCCTCCCTTGCTCCGCACGACTGTGGACGAAGATGTCGTCAAAGTATGTCTGTGCAAACGTCCAATGGGGCCTAAGCAATTGCGTCACAAGACGATTACATGCTGCTGGTGCATTTGACAGCCCTTGGGGCATCACCAGCCACTCCCAGAGCATGTCGCTCAGAGTACTCAACGTTGTCAGCGGAATACCACTCGCTTTCATGAGCAATTGGTAATACCTATCGACCAAGTCGAGTGCGCTGTACTTTGTTCGACCGACCATGTTGTTCTGAAGAACATCCTCGCTAGGAATAGGCGTCTGTGCCGGAATGGTGGCAGCGCTTAGCTTATTGTAGGCGTGAACGCTACGGCATTTGACGTTCGGCTTTCGGACACAAATCGTGGGTGTCGAATGAGGAGACTTGCTCTCACGCACCATTCTTGCGTCGTGCTTCGCTCGGAAAAGAGCGTCTATGACGTCACACTGCTCTTTGGGCAAGGACCATTGGCGTGTTACGCAGTTTTTGGTTTCACGAACCAGGTCAATCTCATGACGCACATCACGGTCCGGGTGTAGGATCGGCGTCGGGCCGTTGGAGACGACGCCTTGGAATTCCTTTAACAAAAATAAATACGGATCCGAGGGATCGTTCACGATCGAAGATACACTTCGCGCAATCAGCACCCTCTTAGTGTCCTCCAGAACAGCTTCATCCAGAAGCGACGACGACTTAATCTCCTCGTTCGGGCTTATAATGACCACCTCGGCTAAATTGCCTGCCTTTAAGGCACCGCTTAACTCTTCGAAGGACATCTTGTCCAGCTCAAGAAGAGTATCCACCGCGGGAATAGCCTCGGAGGTGACGTTGTGATCTTCCCTCCCGTGATTCCATTGACAAGAGTATATAGCTGTACGCTACGTCTACGAACCCTGGGTCAGGGTCGACGCCTTGCGTCTTATAGATAACATACGGCTTCGCCGTCTCATCTCTACAGAGGTTTTACGTCTCATCGAGACCAGTGGGAACACGTACTCGGCGTCGTCCAGTTAAACCACTCCGTGCTTCATCGGAGCCTTGATCTTATTAACAATATCCGACTAAAAGCTGCTATTTCTGCGGTCTTCGTCTTAGGGATAACGTGCCGCTCCACGCGCATCAAAAGGGTCTTGCCTTAGATACCTAGCACCTCGTCCGACCATGCCACTCTTGGCACGCAGCAATTGCTTCGAAACGTGAGCAGTGCTCAGTGGGCTACGTGCCACCCCACGTTCATCACAAGGGCCTCGCCCATGATGCCTCGGACCTTGGCCGACCATGCCACTCTTGGCATGTAGCGACTGCTCCAATACTTGAGCAGCGCAAAGTGGGTTACGTGTTACTCCACATTCAGCTCTCGAGCCACTGTCGGGACTCCTGTCCAGCTCGGATACTCCAATATCCAACACATTGACCGTCCCGATCCAGTGCCCGCGCCAATAGCGCTTCTTTTTTTTAGCAGAGGTGGGTTCATGACCCATCAAAGCTCTACCAAGAGACGTGTGCGTAGCACCCAAGGTTTTGACCTCCAATCAATCCATGGCTCATGGTGTTCCAACCATGCCATACCGAAGATACGTCATACCTTGCATCCATGTCTAACACTAAGCAGCGTTCCACGCTATAAAAGTCACGAAACTTGAAACCGAGGTCCACAGGGACCCTCGACACAGTGACATGAGTACCCGTTGCTAAGCAAACAGTGACGGCGTCACCTAACCGCACCTCCAGCTCCTCAGCATACAGTTGACATTTTTTGATCGTGGAGTGTCGAGCATAATTGCCCGAGGCCCCAGAATCGATAAGGATCTTCCATGGCTTCTCAAAGCCCTTCACGGTCGCCTTTATATCCACCAAGCCCGGCTTGCATACACACTCCGTGTTCAAGAGTACGGAGCTACGGAGCTCCTAGGGGCTGGACTCTGCTACCCTCAACCTCTTTGAGGCACAACAAAACTCAGTTCTTACCCATTAAGGCGGCCCGCGCACACTGAGTTACCTCGTTTCCCCGTGACAAACACTACTACTAGAAGCGGGACGTCGGTTCGACATACCTTTACGCGTCTTGCCCAGGGGACAACCAGTCCGAAGGTGACGCGTCTCCACAGACAAAACACCGTCGGGTGTTTCCACGCTGCTTAGCAGCTCGGAGCGCTCCATCCTCGCTCTCAGCATAGCTGAGATCTATTGGCTCAGGCCCGCTCGACGAGCTCTGAGGGTGTGCATTCCAACCAAGTCTAACCGACTTGAAGTTGAATTCGGCATTCGATGCCACGTTCATCGCTTTTTCAAAAGAAGACGGATACACGTGGAAGACTTCCATTCTGGCCACTTCAATGCGGAGGCCCTCCATAAAGACAATCACTGCGACCGCCTCAAGGAGTATCTGCTGCTATCCCGGCAATGAGAGCTCTCAACTCTTGGACAGGCTTTACATGCCCTATCGGACAGCATGGAAACACAACCTCACGATTTATGCCTGATTAGGCGGCGAGAACATTCGCAGAAGCTGACGCTTCCGCTTTTCCAGGAGAAGAACGCAGCTTCAACCGAAGCACCGTACGTTAGTGACCATTCTCGCACTTGGCCTCCGAGCTTGAAGATAGCTATCGCTGTTGCCCATTTTGGAGTATGGAGGATGCCATAGCCATCTCGGCCCCAGAGCAGGAGATTCTCTCCATTCTTAACCTCGAAGGTCTAAACGCTCACCATGAGCGGCCTGGGTCGAAAGGAATCATCCGTCGTCGACGGTGGCGTCATAGACACAGTCGCTACTGACAGCCTCTGCTGTAAGTGCTACACCAGAGCATTTTCATGACTGAAAGGTCTCTTGGCGTGCGCGTATGGCATCGGGCCCTTGCGCAACGAGGTGCTTCATGTCCTCAGGGCCCAGCAAGAACATCAGCTTATTAAGTCCGTCCTGCATGCCCGAATAGAAGTATTCATTCATCCTTACAAAAGATCAGTCGTAACGACTCAGACGTAGAATGACTAAGAGTGCTACCAAGCGCAGCGGGGCTGCCGTAGCTGTTTGCTTAGAGAAAGCTAAGCTAAGGTCACCGACCTTATGTTCTTTTCAAGAACCAGTACAAGGGTAGCGGATCGCAATTCACTACTTCTAAGTAATAAAGCCTGACCAAGGCAACGAACACTTCTGCTCAAAATTGAAACTGTATTTAATATTATTGGTTGAGGCAAAGCCGCCAATATTTAAAACACAAGGTATTCCTAATCAATATAGTTATACATAACTATTTTAGTAAGACTTAATTAATATAGTAATATGCATTACTACTGGTAATCCTGCCATGTTGTGGCTTCTTGTTTCGGTGTAGCCACACCACTGTGTGATTACACCAACTTGTGTAATCTACTCCTATGTACGGTCGCACAAGATATCTTGTGCGACCCGCCCTTTCATACAAGGGTACGTGTAAACCCGTTACATTCATGCACTGTGGAATGTATATGGAGTATAAAGCACAGTCTTTGGTAAAGGCTGAAGAACATGGAATGGCTACTCCGGATCTTGAAGAGTCATACTCAGAGCACAGATGAAGGTCTTCCGCGCAGACTTGAAAATTGCCTCTTTTGCCGCGCCCCAGCATCATCGGAATCCTTCTCAGATATTGCTGTAGAGCCGTGCTACGTCAGCATGACTTGCACTATATTTGCGCAAATAGTTAGCCAAGCTAGGACTTGACAAAGCATCTGGTATAATCTAAATTTAAATAAAAATACTCATGAATCAGAAGAGCGAACAAGACCTAGTAACTTTTAGGGTCTATGGGATGAAACGTACGAACCAAATCTCTATGCATTTGTTAGCGTGGAGTCATTGAGTCAAAGTTCTTTGTGAGCAGGTACACGGCAACCACGTTACACAACATCAAATTGTTGAAGTTATAGTGCTAATTTTGGCGATGCATGTCATTAACGATTTAACTTAAGCCAAAGCATCTCGAGCAACGGATCGTCAATCTATAATTTCGATCCATTCGCAAGCAATGACGTCATCAGTATTCGTTGCGGCTAGCAAATTTTGCTTGATAAGCAGCAGAATATTCAGGTCATAAGCGCAGAGTATTTGAAAATTAACAAGTTGTCCAAAACGGGGCCAGTAGCAATTGTATCAATCACAACACAGTACAATTGTAATCAATTACTCTCAGTCGATTGTAAGCATTGCACTTGATATAAGTGTGAATTTTCATAAGTGCTGGGCTTTCGATCTTACTGAAGATTGTGGAACTCCGAAAAGAAGGGATCTTAAGAAAAGAAAGGCAGCTATAAAATGATACATAGTACTTCCTCTGTCCGAAAATATAAGCGGTGCTGCGGGGATTGACCAATATTAAG